AGTAATGCGCGGGCTCAGAGTTCTGGGCGACTGTGTCCTTCTGAAATAGCCTGCAGCGTGCGCAACTGATGTTGTGGACACCACATGGCATGCAAGGATGCCTCCTCGAGTCGAGGTGACCGCTCCGGTGCTTCCGGTACCCCAAGGCCTTTGGGTGGTGGGTTCATTTTGTCTGACTCCATGAAGCGATCAGCAAAACATATCTTGGGTGAACATCGCAAAGCAGGCCAACAGGCTACAGGCAGGACCCACTTGAGCCATTGCAAAGGGGCAGGCTGATGCGAGAGTCGAAGCCAGTGTCGAAGCAGGACCTCCGGCCCCACCGCAGCCGCAGACTCTCACCAGGGCCTTCAGAAGGGGCCCCAGTGCTGTGGTCCTGTGGTATGTTTTGTGGCTCTGCTGAAAACTGTCCAAGGTGTAAAAAGCGGGTTCTTCCGTGTGCACCTGGGCTGCATGAGTCTGTGAACGTGCGGCTTTGCCTTGCGACGTTTGTGACAGGCACTGGACTGTTGATGGCCGCAAACTCCGCGGAAATGAAAAACAGACTGCAACTCGGATGCAAGACCCAGTTGGCCAAGTCAAGAAGCATAGTTTTTGCCAGGTCGTGCCAGGGGTAGCTCAGGTGTCCCCACCATTTGAGCTCTCCTTCGGTCCCAAGTTTCCGTCTGTGACGCGGCCTTGCAGCACATTCGGTGGGACGGATCTGTCGGGGCAGATCGCTTGCAGGTTGTGTTGAGTAGCCCGACCCGTGGCACCTTTGAATGGCAGAGGTTTAAGATGATGATCTATCCTGAGATGGTCAACGAGGGCAAGGGCGGCTGCTGTTTCAGGACTACCAACCTGCACTGACGTGGATTGGAACCTTTGAGCCCAAGCAGATCTGTTCTTTGAAACCTGTGAGGAAATCGAAGGGGAGAGGCTTGGCTGTCACTGCTGTTTGCAAAATGGGCGTATTTGTTTTTACAGGTTTGCCTTGTACTTTACCAGCAACAACACCAAAAAGGGGGTACCCAAATGGTGTGCTTGTTTCTGAGGCCACCTGGGTTGGCTTAAGGGGAACTAAGGGGGCACCAGCCAAAATGGGAGTCTTTGTGTTTGACACATCAAAATGTTGCTTTGCCATGGCATGCAATATGCCATGGAGGCTACGTGCAGATCAAATGCGAGGCAGAGCTCGAAGAGTCTGTTGCGCAACTCGGCTCACAAGAACTAGGTGTGGGTCCTCATGTCCCGCTAATATGTATTGATTGCATTTGTGTATGTAAACAGTTTGCCTGGCCCCATCTTGGATCCACAAGCTCTAGGATAGAGTTGTCTTCGATCCATGCAGCAACGGAACATCGGCGAGCAAACTCACCGTTTAAACCAGGGTAGAGCTGCAGATGCACGAGCCTCAACGTGTGCAGTTAGATGTGTTCAAGCCGTAGTTTGCCAGTGATCCTACCCTTTTTTAGGGAGAGACAAAACTTGGCAAACTCGGCTCAGGTGGGTTTCGTTTAGAATTTCCATTGGCAGCGGCAACAAGACCGTGACCAAGCTGCAGCCAGCCGGGAAGGAGAAAATCAGTTGCAATTTGGATCAAACCACCCTGGTGCAGGATTTTTGGTCCATAACACAAGAGTGGGATCGCACATTCAGTTTTCTTGATGCAGATTCTAGTTTCTCTGTGCCGCACAGCAGGACATGAGGGCGCTCTTGTTGTTGCTTGTTGCGACATATCCACACTAGTGATGGTGTAACGTGGCCTTCACCCTTGCAAACGACTGTTCTGGCCATTCGAAACGCGTGCTTTTTGTTTGAGAAAGAACTGCATCTAAGGTGGGGCCAAGAGGGCCCAGGTATCACAACTTTTCCCAAAGTGCCGTGACTGGCCTGGAGGCACCTCGCGCCTCGCGCTTCTCCATCCTAAAAGCACTTCCTTGCCTCGCAGGAGGGGCCCTCCAAGGACGAGCACATTTGGGATTTCACAGCAACTTGAGCAAATCTAGAGCAGATTGGGTTGAGGATTCAACGCAACTGCATGTAAACGGGTAGGTGCTTCTCAAAAGCCTTTTGTTAAAACTGCAGGGTTCTTGCTGCCTGAGCTGACATGGGAGCCGGCACAAAGGAAGTTCTGGACGAAGTGTCCCAGACCTTTGCCCCTTGCTTGCACTGTGGTACTCCGAATCTTGGTTGGCTTTCGCTGGGTGCTGCGTTGTTCCTGTGCTTCCAGCAGATCACGCCGAGGTGGTTTGCCTGGAGATTGTGCCGGGCGGCAAAGGTCCTGGAAAGTGATTTGCTGACAACAAAGCTTTCGACTATGCAAGTCTGCTCAATTAGCCGCTTTTTGCCCGGAAAAACTCGTGCTGGGCCAACTGGGGACCTGCGGTTGCAGGACTTTGCCGCAAAGGAGCCAGCAGCCACCCCTTTCCGGATTCAGCCCCGAATGTGGGCGCGAGGCTGGAGGGTCAACTTGACCCAGAGAGCCCGGGTCGACCCGGAGTCTTTCTGGAGAGCCTGTCCGCCTCGTCCGCCTATACTTGTTTTTCCAGAGAGTAGGGGGCAAGGCCAGCTCCAAGAGACAAGACTTTGGGAGCAGGCTTTTCACCTCAGGGGAGGTCTGAAAACAGTTTTCACCTGCGCTCCGCAACTGGTTGACAGTTCACGCTTGCGCACTCGCGAGCAGCACATATTTAATTGCGGGCCGAAGAGGGAATGAGGGTGTCGCTCGTGATCACTGGTTAGTCAATCAGATGCTTCTGGTCCGAAAATCCCGAGTTTCCCAGGCCGTAAGTAGGTGCGGCTTCAAAGTGCAAGCGGGCTGGCGTTTTGACCACTGAAACTACGAGAGTTTTAGTGGTCATGAAGCCCCAGCAACAGCTTTAAACAAACTGCGGCAACGCAGGCAGAAAAAGCACATGGAGCTGAATCATGGCTGCGCCTTCAATTGGCTCATGCCTGTGTGGAACCAGTACTGCCATGGCTTGCTTGGCGGCGATTGTCGTTGAAACTAGTTGCGAAGTTGCGTTAGTGCAGTTTTGCACTACACGATGTAGACATTTCACCTGCCAGTACGTGTCCCGCCCAACGGCAAACACTTGAGTTAGTTGGTTTCCTCCTCTCTTGCTTGCACAGGCATGAGCCAAAACTAGCCCGATTCATTTTGGTTTCCTTCCGATTCAAAGCATCGGTTCTGATTCGAACGTAGGAAGAGAGCTGCAGGAAAGCTTGATCAGCTTGACCGTCGAGCCCCGCAGGATCAGCTCATGAGCGCCATGCTCCTGCGAAGAAATCTCTGTGCCATTACAGATGACCCCAGGCACCTGTCCCCTAATCCGGGAGCCAGAGAAGTACAGACCCCTTAATACGCTTTGGTTCCCTGGATAGCAACTGTATCATGGGTATGAGAGAGACAGGCCGCAAATAATGCGAGCACAGCCCGTGGAGAGATAATTCAATGAGCAAGAGCCAGGTGGGAGGACTTGCCTGTCGGCCTGGTGGAAAGTATCTTGCGACAGGTTACGGCCTTGGTCCAAATTTCAAAGGCGAACTGCCAGCGGGTCCGGCGCTTCGTTGAGCCCGATCTCTGTAGGATGACTTGCCGATCGCCTGCGAGGCCGAGGACGCTGGCTGAGCAAATCGAAATCAGACAAAGTGGCTGTTAACCCCGGATTGATCGCGCCCTGGTTCACTTGGGGGAGACTTCGCACATCCACCAGACTAGACCTCAGGTCTTGACCCTGATTGCCAAGTGGATTGCGGGCCGCAAGAAGCGGGAAGAGGCAGCCAGACGTGGACGTGCATGGCGCGGAATCACAAATCGCTTCACATCCTGCCAGGATGTGACGCGGTTGTTGCGCTGCTTTCGCAGAGGGGACAGCGTTCGGGTTTGGCGCTGAGTGAGAAGACCTTTTGCAGCAGTGAGATGACATGGGCTGAAATGAAAACCTGAATATTCACCGAGATATAGGAAAGGATGCTTCATGCTGAGATGTGAGAACCACAGTTGAGGTGCGCGTATCAGATATAGCAGCTCTGATGCAGGCACTTGGACCCAGCCTCAGAGGGGAGGCGCTCGCGCCGTTCCTTGGATGGTTACCGTGTTGCTGGGGTGTGCTCAAAATCGCACAACTGGGGTTACGCAGGTTTTAGTCTCTGTTTCCATATATCAAGGTGCCATTTTGGCTACCATTTTGCGAGCCGCAGCCACTTGGGTTCGTTCGTATGGGCCAATCGGGCCAAGCAGCTCAGGATGGGATATTTTTTCAGACAAGGCCAGCCCTGCATTCAAGACCCGCATTTTCTTTGCATCCCCGAACTGCAGGTGCCGCGCAAAGGCGCAGCGGTCTGGGACCCGAACTTCATAATTCATCGCGAGGCACGGCATCTGAACTTCTGGGCGGGCAAGTCCGCGAGACTGGGCTGTGGCTCCAAATTCAGGACCCACGTCATATTTTGTTTTTCTCCCAAAGAAGGGGGGGGTTGGGTGCTCGATTTTTGAGCAACAGTCTTGCTGATAGGGAGCCGGAGCCATGCAAGCTTCTGCTGAGCGGCGGGCTGAGAATGGAATTGGAACTTGTGGACTTGTAGCTTCTCTCATGGCTATGTATCAAAATGGAGGGGGGACCCCCAAAAAGATGGCTTTTCCTTTAAACCGGTGCCTGAGAACACACCCAAATCGCTTGCCAAGATTGGATGCATAAGGCAAGCGCAGCACGGCCTGCGTTTTTGCTGAGGTCTGGCGAGCGCAGGGAAGGGAACAACGTGGAGATTATCCACCAGATGGGCGCCGCCCTCAGCTTCCCTTGGGAGACCGGGTGATGAAGGATCCTGTTTTGGTGGGTCTTCATTCCGGTTTTCAGGATTTGGAGTCGTTACCCCAACAGTTAGAAGTTTGATCATAATTTAATCCTGAACAGTTAGACCCCCAACCCCATTTGGCAGACATGCGGTGGTTTTTTTTGTGGCTGACCAGGCCCCAAAGACTTCCTGCAGCAGGAGCCTGGCTGGGCTTATCCAGGTGCAACCACGGGAGGTCAAAGTGACGGTATATTGTACGTACCGCTAGGTATGTTTCATAATTTTGGCAGACCTTCGCAGATGATTCATTAAGACTTTGCCACCCATATAAATCGCATTTGCTCTTCTACTACGTTCTGAACATATTTTCTGTGGTATTCCTCCGCTTGATCTTTGTGTTGCCGATCATTTCATACGTGTTCTGGTCATAAACTCAGTCGATTGCATCACAAATTAATTGGACAATTAGCATCATAAGCAAAGTTTTGTACAGTGTAAAAGCGAAGTTAGGTAACGTGTCATATTATACAGGGTGCCAAGAAAAACACATTTGCTGGCATAGAACTCGTGATGTTCTCTCACTGTGCATAGCCTTCATTTCATGTTATCGTGGCTCAACTGACTGTAAAACATCTCTGCGAGGGTACCGGCGCAAGTGTAACAAACAAAATGGCAAACCATACCTCTTCTGCTTCGCCTGCACATCTTCGATCAACTTACAAACCTGCGGCAATACCCAAATATCTGCTACGCATCCTCCGTCTCTCATCTCAACTCGTCTGCAAATCCCCTTCGTCTCTCAGCTCACAAACCTTGGCCAATACAAAAACTTTAGAGCCTCCGGCTCAGTCCGCCGACATTGTCAATTGTCCTCTCCCTTTTCTCCTTCTTCCTCTCTCCCTTGTCTCCCTCGTGTGTTCTGTCGTCCTCTCTCCCTCCCTCTGCTCCCCATCCTCCCCATCCTCCCCATCCCCCCAAGCCTCTCTCTCCTCAGTCTCCCTCCCTCTGTCTCTCTCTGTCTCTCTATCTCTCTCTCTGTCTGTCTCTCTCTCTCTCTCTCTGTTTCTCTGTCTCTTTCTGTCTCCCAGTCTCCTTCCTGTCCACGCCCCTCTACAGAAAAAGGGTACCCTAATTCTAACCTCTCTACTGGAGGACCGAGTCTCTCTCCCTCTCTCTTTCTCGCTCTTTCCCTCTGTCTCTCTCTCTCTCTCTGTCTTTCTGTGTCTCTCTTTCTCTGTCTCTGTCTTTCTCTCTCTGTCTGTCTGTCTCTTTCTCTGTCTCTTTCTCTGACTCTGGCTCTGTCTCTGTCTCTCCCTGTCTCTCTTTCTCGCTCTCTGTGTCTCTCTCTCTCTCTCTCTCTCCCTCTCTCTCTCTCTCTCTCCCTCTCTCTCTCTCTCTCTCCCGCTTTCTCCCTGTCTCTCTCTCTCTCTCGTTAAAATCGGTGGTTACTTTGCTTACAAGTGCAAGTGCTGTAGTGTTCAAACAAACAGTCAACCAATGTAGTCTGCAGCTGCCAACCTTTTGACTCATGCGGAGTAGTAAGCTCAAGGCCTGCGGTAGTGAACATACATGCAACAAGAGTGCAAAGTGAAGCATGTAGTTTGACACGGCCCCTCAGTTAAAAGGTCTTTGTAGTACCTTTTCAACTGAAGTGCAAAACATGGATTGACAGTAGTGATGAAAACCATTGTTGTTCATCAATTCTACTGTATTGGCAAAAGTAGTGACCTGCGCTCAGTAGTTCACGCTGTTCAGGTTCCAGCTCGATGTAGGGCGCTGGACGGAAGTAGTGAAGGCAGGCACTCGTTGTAGTAGAGCAGGAGCTCAAAAATGTAGTCCCCATTTCTGGGTGCGGTAGGCTTGGACCATCTGTAGTCGACTGTCCAAGGTCGCGTAGTAGTTGGTGGTGAAAAAGGTTGTCATGTAGTTTGGAGCTCCCCGTAGTCGCTCATCATCAATCTCGGGACACGACATGTGTTGGTCGTAGTCCCGTAGAAAGCGGTGTAGTAGTGCCTTGTGGTGTTGTGTGAGGTTGGTCATTGTGAGTAGTGTGAATCCGTAGTAATGGATGCTTTTGCAGAGGATTGTAGTGATTGCTTTGTGCTGGAAGTCGTGTAGTTGGTCTCGGTTGTAAAGGTAATGGAGTAGTTCAGGTAGAAGTAGTGGCATGTGGTAATTCCAAACGTAGTTGTTCCTGAGGCTGTAGTTGTCAGTGAAGGTGGTCATGTTGTAGTTCACCTTGAAGATGGTCTGTGGCAGTGTTGTAGTCGGGAGGTTGTACCGACATCATGTAGGAGATGTAGTCCCTTGTGAAGTGTAGAAATTGTCCTGAAGTGAGGTACCTCAGGAGTAGTGGTTGTTCAATCTGGAGTTGGATGATGACGTAGTTGGTGTTGTCGCCAGTTGTAGTGTGGAGTGAAGTCGTGTGGTAGTAGTGGACGTTGGCTGCTTCAGGTAGTGAAATGCTGAGCAGTGTGGAATTGTAGTGTGGCATCCGAAGATCTCCAGGGATGCAGTGAATGGGTCGTGTGTAGTCCAGTTGTGCCAGTGGAGTAGCTTGTTGTTGTGAGAGTAGTTGATACTCTTCAAGTGTAAATGCAGTGAAAAATTGAGTGTAGGGAATGTTGTCGGGCAGTGGTGGTGCAGTGGTTGTCTGGTGCTCAGTGATGTGTAGTTGGTCCATCACTGTGGTCGGGTTGTAGTAGACGGTGTTGCCGGGTGTAGAATGGTTGAAGTGGTAGTTGGAGTCGTTGTAGGTTTGAGGTGGTGGAGTTCCATGGTCACTGGAGTCTGTAGTGACCGCCACCTCAGGTGTAGTCGCCCTGTCGGGCGTAGTGGCGTCTCCCATCGTAGCATCTGCAGTAGATGGAGCGGCCATGGCTGCAGTGGAATGCAAAATGTAGTGAAACGGGGCAAAACAAATGAGCCTAAGTAGTTGCTACCAGGCAGTCGGAGAATGCAGACGTGTAAAGCAAACAACTGTAGTGTTGACTCAAGCCGCCAAAAGTGCAAGTGAAAGTACATGTAGTTACTGTTACTTACATACCAAAAGTGTCGTGTTACATGTAGCTACTTACATTCATGAAATGTCCAAAGTCGTTGTTGTTGTTGTGAAACTTCTGTGCTGGTCGTTCGTAGTGCTAGATGCGTATTCCACTGCTCTGGATGAGCCTGTGTAGTGTTTCTTTGCTGATGTATTTGGTAAACAAATCTGCGCTGTTGTGGAGTGTGTTGATCTTAAGGATTCTGATGATGTCGTGCTTGATGAGGTCTTGTGTGTAGAGGAATTTGAGGTCGATGTGTTTTGCTCGTTTGCTAGTGCCTTGTCGTGTGGCAATGCTCTTGCCTGCTGTGGAGTCTGTGTGGATGCGTAGGTTTAGCTGGCTGCAAATGTTGGTTTCAAGTAGGAAGTTTCTGAGGTGTAGTCCCTCATTAACTCCTGTGCAAATGGCGTAGAGTTCAGACTCTGCTGAGCTAAGTGCTATTGTAGCTTGTGTTCTGCTGCCAAATGCAACTGTTGTTCCTAGAAAGATGATGTTGAAACCTGAAGTTGATTTCCTGGTAGTAGGGCATCCTGCCCAGTCGGCATCGACATGAACGTCGAGATCCAGGATGTTGTTGGTGTTTGCTCTGAGTGTTGTTGTTGGTTCTATGGTGATTTGTAGTGCTTGGTGCCGTGCAAGTAGCGTAGTAGATGTTTGACTCTCTTTTGTGAAAGTTCTGTAGGTGCTGTGAGGTCTCGTGCTAGTTCTTTTGTGGAGTATGCAATGTCTGGTCGTGTGTATGCTAACCATTGAAGTTTGCCAACAATTCTTCTGTACCTTTTGTGTTGTTCGTGGTCAAGTAGTGCTTCATCTTCTATTGTTGGTTTGTAGTGTGCAATTCCTGGAGTGTTTACTGAGTTGCAGTTGTTCATTCCAGACTCCTCGATCATGTTGTCGATGTAGGAGTCCTTTAGTCCAAGGTTGCAGTAGTTGCCGAAGTGGTCGATGTTTCTTCCAAGAAATTGTTGTGGTTTGCCAGGTTCGAGGTAGCCGATGTGCTTGAGTAGGACCTGCTTCTGGACGGCCTCGAAAGTGGAGTCGACCGCAGTCTTGTCTCCAAGTACCAGTAGATCGTCCACGTAGACCATGATGTAGCAGTCGCGGGTCGCATTGGTGTAGACGTTAGGTTCTGACTTTAGTCTTACAAAGCTGAGCTTTTGTAGACTTCAGCCAGGTAGTCCTGCCATGCTTTTGGTGAACTGCGTAGTCCATACATGGCTTTCTTTAGTCGCCAGATTTTGTCCTGTTGTGGACAAAGTTCTTTAGGTGGCCAAAGGTAGACGTCACGTTGTTTACCGTCGTGGTCTTTTGCGATGGGTGCTGTAGAAATGCTGTAGAGACGTCACCTAGTCGCGCGATCCAGTTTGGTCGTGACATTTGTAGTGCGAGAAGTGTCCGGAGTGTCGTGAACATTGGTGTAGAGGCGTAGACGGAGTCTTCGTCCTCGATCTTCTCGGTGTAGCCTTTTGCGACGATTCGGCTTCGTACTCCTGGTCCTTTCTTTCTGTGTACCCATCTTGTAGGTATCGCTTCTCTGATGACGTTGTCGTTGACGGTAGACGCATCTACTTCGTCGTAGACGTCGTGTAGTTTCATTTGGTTTGACTCGTGTTTCATTCCTTCCAGTAGTTGTGTTTCGTCGTAACCTTCGTTGTCGAAGATTATGGGTTGGTCTTCTGAGGTGTCGTCGTTTGTGTAGGGAGTGATGGATTTTCGTTGGGAAGTGTCACTGCGTTGATTTTCTGTCGTAGTGGTGGTGGTTCTTTGGTTGCTTGTTCCGTTGATCTGATTGTAGTGTCCTTTGAGGTCTTCTGTGCTTTAGTTGGTTGCATTACTTCTTCCGGAGTTAAACGTCGTAGTGTTTGTCGAGGTGGTGCTGGTAGTGGTGGATGTTGTCGTCCAGTTGGTGAAGTAGCCATAGGACTATCCGGTAGTGGTCGTGAACTTGACGTCGATGTGGACGGAAGTCGTGGAGGTGGTGTAGTGCGTTGTTGTTTTCTGGCCGGTCATTAAGGACATGCTTTTTAGGCCTTTTTTTTTGGGTGCTTTTTTTGGACCGAAAACCTTGTTTTTTCGCGTGCGCGTTCTTTGTCAAAACAATCCGTTTTTCGGAAGTGTTTTTTTTGCCGAAAATCTTGGGGAGGGAGGGGGAGAGGGGGGAGGGGGGGAAGAATTTT